ACTGAAGGAAGAAGTCCAAGGTGCATTGAAGGAATTGGCAAAGAGCAAGGCACCAAGAATTGATGGAACACAAACTGAAATCTTTCAAGAAAGTGAGGCGGCACAGGAGGCACTCACTCGTCTCTGCCAAGAAATTTGGTGTTCCTTGTAGGCATACGGATATTATCCTATCACAGATGGCGTTGTACAAGATAGATCTTGAAATGTTCTTTTTGATAATGAATTTGATGCCATTCCTCTTCAATTTGGCATTTCTGGCATAGGAAGTCATGTGGTTTCCAGATCCATAATGGCCAACACCAGTCCATTTCAGCTCACTAATGCCTATGATCTTCATGTTCATGTGTTCCATTTCTTTTTTGACAACTTCCAATTTTCCTAGATTCATACTTCATATATTCCATATTCCGATTATTAATGGATGTTTTCAGGTGTTTCTCTTTATTTTGAGTTGTGCGCCATAAGCAAGTGAAGGTCCCAAAGCTTTACTAAATCGCGTCCTTATGGTCAACTCTACTTTGAGGAGGTAGTTCTTCCCCAGTCATATTTTAAGTGCCTTCCAACCTGAGTGGCTCATCTTCTGGCACTATATCTTACAATATTCTGCTGCTCTTCATCTTGTTTCATTATTCAATATTCTGGTGCTATCTGACAATGTTCCACTGCTATTCATAAGTTTTTTCAATGACTATATATTTGGAAGTAGTCCATTTCTCTTTCTTCCTAGTCTGTCTTAGTCTGGCATAGCTTCCAGAATCACAACAACAACAAACTAACAGATGAGTGGTCCATCGACGAAACCTAATATAAATGACAACTGTTCTGGGTCCTTCATTAAACACAGTAGTACCAGCAAATACACTTATCTGTATTCTTTCTGGATGTCTCTCATCAAGGAGATAAAGCTGCAGTCAACAGAAACACAAACCATTCCTCCCCATCATCCTGGCAGCTCTGGTGCAGTGTCTTGTTCCCTGTGCAGAAGCTGGCCACTTCCTGACCATCTATCCTCACTCCTTTGCCCATGACATGGGCTTGTGTCTAGCCTCACCAGATGTCACTCAACTCCCCTCCAAGGAAGGGCTATTTGCTAGATTACTATGGAATGGAGAATTTGGAAAGAAGGGGGTATGGCAGAGAAAAATGGAAGAAGATGTGGTTGTTATTCCTCGCAGAAAAGGATGACCACCCCAGGTTTGAGAAGAGGGACTACAAACGTTCCCTGAAATCACACTAACTACAGAAAGGCATTGCAACTGTTGCCATTTCAATGCTTGGATATGGAAGGTCAGCTAGGTCAAAGAGCATTCCTGTGTCATTCATCTGTTTTACACTAAAGTGACCCAAAGGCTGTGCTTACTTGTTCTTTTAGTTGTTTGTCAAATTTGCTACTTATGACTCTCTGGGGTTGTTGAAGTAAAGTTCTTAGCTTCTTCTCCCTTCTCCCTTTCCCTAGAACTGTTCTTCCAGGGTCATAGAAGAAATTCCGCTCTCAGACTCAAGGCCCAATGCACCCAGCCTAGCAAGCTATCTAGGGCCATCTGCATGCAAGAAAACCTCCCAGAGAACATTTTACCCACTAGGACCCAATGTCTTCTGGGTCATGGAGGATTGAGAGAGAGTCACAACTCAGGTGTCCTAAAGTATTTTTTGAATGAATAGGTATATCTTAGATTGTAAACATTTTAACGTCTTGATTTCTTAACAAAATAGCTCCACCATGTATTGAAAATGTTTTTCCCCACTAATTCAGGAAAATGAACTATGCCTTTTATCCATCTACTGGAAGCAAGAGGGAAAGAACATTCCGCTGTAACTTCCTGTGAGATAAAGAAAAAGGATTACCCTCTAACAGAGCTGAAACCGAAGTCCTTAAGCAGAGAATGTGTTATACCTTCTTTTGCATCTCCTGGATGTTGGTCTCCCAATTGTTATCTTCCTGTGAAATTTGTCTAGAAAATAAACAGACAAACTCATTATTTTCCCATTCATTTTAAATAATGGGAGAGCCAGGGCACTGGTCACTACACTTTCCACCATTCCCAAGCCTGGAGTTGCCTACAGAGGGACACTATGCAGATCTATTCAATGCTCTGTGCCAGGTGAAAACAGTGCTGAAACCTAAAAGAAGTTGGATACATTCAAAACAATTCTTTCCAACCCCTTTACTTTACATAAAGCTTCTCTGAAGACCTTTACTGTTTGTGGAAGTCTACTGCCTGGCCCCAGTGTATGCCTTGCCATTCCCATACCCTACGAACAGACAGTGTTCTTCGTTGGTTTCTGAGGGTGAAGCAGTGAGTCTGGCCTAGGTAAAGCTATGTTACAGGTTATAGGCCTTTGCTCATACTATAGGGCCATGAAGCAGTGCCAGCAAATGATCCTTTACTCCCATGTCCCCTTGTGGGCACACAACATCCCAGTGTACTCTTAGCCCTCTGACTTTCCTGATAAGTCCTGTTCTCTTTCCAGCTTCTAGCTCTGTCGTAGGAACAACACTTTAGCAAAAACGTGTCATTCTTGTTGCTTTTCACCATCAAAATTTCTTGAGAAAAGACAGGTTGGAGCTAGCACCTTCTTCTCAGGGAAGAAACAAACTCCTATCCAAGTGGGAAGAAGAAACTTAAGAATTGATGACCTAAATATAAGTATCAGTTTTGATTTAAAAACTTACAGCAGGCAATGAATTTAGTAGGACTTATGCATTCTTGCGAGGAACCCTGCTGGTTCTGTGGTTAAATCACTCAGCTGCTAACTAAAAGGTCAGCAGTTTGAACCCATCAACGTCCCCTAGAGAAAGATGTGGCAGTCTACTTCCATAAAGACTTACAACTTTAGAAATACTACGGGGCAGTTCTACTCAGTCCTAGAGGATCAGTATGAATCAGAATCTATTCCACCCCTGAAAATCCACTGTTGATAGTTACTCTCACATTGATTCCAACTCATAGCAATAGTATAGAACAGACTAGAACTGCTTCCTACTGTTTCCTCCCCTATCATCTTTATGAGAATGGTTTGTCAGGTTTTCTTTGATGTGTACTTCACCATTGAGCTAGATGAATCTTTTGCTTTGCTTTTTAAACTTTTGTTCAATTTTTGTTATGTAAATTCTGTTATATTTTTTTAGCTGAAACCACGAACTAGGAGAGAGTCTGAATTCACCCAGAGCATTCTCTTTGGGCAAGGTGCTTAAGATCACTAAAACTCTGCTTTCTCAACTTCAACCAGGGTCAACCCCATAGAGGTAGTATGAAGATTAATAAAATAATATGCCATTAATAGGTATGCAGGGTGGGTGGCACCTAAAACTTACTGATATACATACAGACCAGGGTTACAACTGTATATGTCAAGGGACATTCAGAGGGACAATCATCATAACTCACGTGTGGAAGGTGTGCAGCTTCCAGACCAACAGCCGCTCCAGTGCCTGCACCTTGTCCATCAACAAGTGGCGCACTAACGTCTCCTCGCGGCTGGCTGGATTGATGCGCTGCGCAGTCAGCCGCCACACATGGATTTCATGTTTCAACTCTGCAGATCAAAGTAGCTTGGGTTTGAAAAAGATCTTAGATCCTATTTACTGGGCTGCTAACCACAAGATTGATGGTGCAAACCCATCAGCTGCTACTTGGAAACCCCACACAGAGTCACTGTGAGTTTGAACTGACTTCACAGCACTCAACAACATACCAAAAGAATAGCTTAAAAAAGAAAAAAATGATAGACGATTTTGATCAAAATTGAAAATATCTGCTCTTTGAAAACTACTGTTAGGAGAGTGAAAAGACAGGCTAAGGTATAAAAGAAAGCACTGGACCATAAGGTTGGTTTGAACGACAAGGTTAGCAGTTCAAACTTACCAGCTGCTCTTTGGAAATCCTACACAGGACCACTATGAGTTGGAATGGGCTCAACATTACTTAGCAACAACAACATGTCTGGTAAAGAACTGTATCCAGAACACATAAAGAATTATCGATATCCAATAATAAGAAAACAATTTCCAAAATAGCAAAATGGGCAAACAATTTTAATATATACTTCACCAAAGAAGGCAAGTGAAGTCAATTAAGCACAAGAAAAGATGCCAACATCATTAGCCCGTTGTTCAATGTCTTACAGTCGGTTCTGACTCATAGTGACCCTATATTAGATTTCCAAGGATTGCATCGTGAGCCGGAACCAACCCTGCAGTTCAAACTGATCTTACAGTCCTTTGCTTATTCTATAGTGCCACACCAGAACTCTTCATTAACCCTTGCTGTTGTTGTTGTTAAGTGCCGATGAGTCGGTTCCGATCCACAGTGACCCTTCATAGGGTTTCCGAGGAGTGACTGATGAGCCTGAATCACCGAACTTGCTATTCAAAATGATTTTGCAGTCCGGCGCATTAACCCACAGCGCCACCCTGTAATGCATAGTAAAGACAAAGGGAGTTATCACTACACACTCACTAGAATGTGGAGGATGTGGAACTTTCAAACACTGCTGGTGGGGATGTACTCTATACAGATATTTTTTATATGTTTTGGCAGCTTCTTAACAAGTTAAACATATGTCCTTGTGCAGATTTTTATACAAATGTTTAGTAATAACTTTATTTGTAATAGTTCAAAACTGAAAATAACCCAAATACTCATTGAAAACTTCAGGTTTTGTGTCAACTTGACTATGCCAGGATCCCCAGTGGTTTAGCAGTTGAGATGTGGTTATCCCCATGGTAAGACATAATACACTCCCTGATGATTGACTATGAAGAGTGTAGTCAACTCTATGATGATTGGCTATGAGTAGGCATAGTTAACTCTAAGATGATTGGCTATGAGCAGACAATCTACTGAAAGGATGTTTCCTTGGAGGTGTGGCCTGCTTCCAATATAATGGACACTCAGGCAAAGATTGCTTGCTGTTGGGTTTGGATCTTGCATCTGGTTGGTCCTCCAACCTCTGATTCTTCAGACTTGAGCCACTGGCCTATTCTATTACCTGCCTGCCTGTCTACCTTCCTGTCTTACTGCATGCCTGCCTGTCTGCTGGACCTGCTTGCCTGCCTACCTGCCTGCCTGTAGAATTTAGTTTCATCAATTTTAGAAACGACTAATACATCATTTTTTTTACATATTCCCCTTGCTTTTCAACACTTTGTCAATCTGTCAACAAGCTTTCGTTTTCTCTTATTAAAAAATATTTTAGGCTGAACTGTGAGCCACTAAAGCACCACTGTCTTCACTTCTTCATCAGAGGTGAATCTTTGTCCTTGAAAAACTACTTTCAAGGGACCAAACAAGTGAAAAGTTTGATGGAGTAAGATCAGGACTATAGGGAGGATGCTTTAACACCTCAAAACAAAGTTTTTACACACTGTCAACAGTACAGACAGAGATGTGCAGATGTGTATTGTCATGCAAGATCACAACACCCTTGGATAGCAGTGTTTAATCAGAAGTTTAGGCTTCAGCTCTTCAGTGAGCATCTCATTGTAAGGGGCACTGTTAATTATTGAACATTTTTCCTGATAGTGTTCCAATACTGGCCCTTGAGAATCCCAGAAAACTGTATCGATTTTCCCTCCGATGGGTGACTTTTGAACTTTTTCTTGGTGGCAACTGAAGATATTTCCATTTAATAATTTGCTGTTTACTCTCAAGCTCATAGTGATGAATCCATATCTCATCAGCAGTAATAATTTTTTTAAAGAAACTTTTGCCTTCCTTTGAGCATTGGTCCAAAGTTTATTTGAAGATGTTCAAATGCTTCTGTTGAGCGCTTCTATGAGTTTTTTCAGTACCCATCTCACACAAGAAACCCAAGTCTGTCGTGGATTATTTCATAGGCAGAGCCATGGCTGATTTGCGAATGATTTGCCACATAATTCAGGTTACTCATCTATTCATCAGAATCATTTCACGAGCATGCTCAAGGTTGTCATCAGCCATGGATGTGGACGAGCATTCTAATATAATCGGACAGTGGATAATTTTTTACTCACCCTCGTACATATATGTTTCACTAGTTTTGTTTCCCTAGAGAACCCAACCTAAGACAATCCATCCACCTGTAAGTAAATAGTTATATATCCATACAGTGGAAATTGTTGTTGTTGTTGTTAAGTGCCATTGATTCAGTTCTGATCCATAGCGATCTGAGGAGCAGCTGGTGAGCTTGAACCATCAAACTTGTGCTTCAAATGGACTTGGCAGCCCAGCGCATTAACCCACGACATTGTTGTTGTTGTTAAGTACCATGGAGTCAGTTCCGACTCATAGTGACCGTGCACAGGGTTTCTGAGGCTATAAATCTTTATGGGAGCAGAAAGCCTCATCTTTCTCCCACAGAACGGCTGATAGTTTCAAGCTAGTGACCCTGAGGTTAGCAGTCCGGTTCGTAACCACTATGCTACCCACAACATTGCTAGTGATAAAAACAAATGAGTAATTAACACCTACCATGCTATAGATCAATCTTAAAATAATTATACTGTGTGTAGGAAGCCAGATAAAGCAGAGTAATACAACATGATTCCACATGTACAATACTCTGCAAAATGCTAGAATAAGAAGATCAGTGACTAGAAGATTTCAGGGATGTGTGAGAAGGAAAAAAAGGTTACAAAACAACACAAGGAAACTTGGAAGTGATACATGTGTTCATTATCTAAATTATGATGCTGGTTTCATGACTGCAGATACAAAGAGTACCAAACTGTACACTTTCAGTTACAGTTTAATGTATGTCACTAATAGTTCAGTAGGAGCTCTGGTAGTGTAGTGGTTACAAATCGGACTGTGAACCACAAGGTCAGCAGTTCAAAACTACCAGTTATTCCACTGAAGAAAGAGGAGGCTTTCTGCTCCCGTAAAAATTTACAGCGTCAGAAACCCTGTACAGGGTTGCTATGAGTCAGAACCGACTCCATGGCACATAACAACAACAACAACAACACTTCAGTAATGCTCATTTGCAATTATCAGTCTGGAAGCCTGGTGTGGCACTGCTGTATAAAACTGGTAACCACAAGGTTGGTGGCTCAAACCCACCTGCCACTCTTTGGAAACCCTATACAGAGTCACTATGAGTCAGAACTGACTTGACAGCATTTAACAAGAATAACACAGTAAATATATCAGTCTAATAATAAAGGATGTATCTAATCAAAATGTGTACCATTAACCTTCCTTTCCTCTAAATTCTGTGAAATTCTGCTAGCTAATACTAGAGTGAAGTCTACACTAGAAGAGAACTTTACTGCTCAAAATCAGGTGGTTATCAACAAATATCACCTACTCGATATTCACCTATGGAAACATCAAGCGTTATATCTTAGGAAGGCAAGAGTGTATAGCAATTGAAAGAGCAAACAGGAAGATAAGTCCTCACAACAAATAAAATTCCCCAAAGGCTAATAACAGGAGAACTGCCATGTTACTGGAATTTACCTAAAACAGTGTTTCACAGATAGTCACATCAAGAGCCTTCTAAAAGATAGAACTGGTAAATAAAACATTGGGTGTTCATATAGAAAGAGCACATGCTTTCCTTTTCTGTTGTTGTATGCGATTGAATTGGTTCTCATGCAAAATGACCCTAGGACAGCATTTCCTACAGTGATTAGTGGGTTTGAACTGCCAACCTTGAGGTTAGCAATCCAGTGCTGACCCTACAGTGTCACACCAGGGGTCTATTTATCTATGCTATTGTTAGGTGCCATCTAGCTGGTTCTGAAAAAATAGCAATCGTATGCAAAACAGAGTGAAATACTGCCCAGCCCTGTGCCAGCCTCACAATAGTTTCCTTTGAGGCCATTGTTGCTGCCACTGTGTCAATCCATCTCCTTGTGAATCTTCCTGGTTTTCACTGACCCTCCACTTTATTAAGCATGTTGTCCTTCTCCAGGGACTGGTCCCTCCTGATAACATGTCCAAGGTATTAGACATGAAGTCTTGTCACTCTTACTTCTAAGGAGCATTCTGGTGGTACTTCTTCCAAGACAGACTCGTTTGTCCTTCTGGCAGTCCGTGGTACTTTTAATGTCTTTATCTAACACCTTAATTCAAATGTATCAATTCTTCTACATTCTTCCTTATTCACCGTCCAGTTTTCATATGCAAATGGGGCTACTAAAGATACCATGGCTTGTGTCAGGCGGGCACAAACTGGTATCTCTCCTCTTGAACACTTTAAAGGAGTCTTGTACAGCAGATTTCCATAGTGCAATATGTCCTTTGATTCCTTGACTGCTGCTTCCATGAGTGTTGATTGTGGGTGCAAGCAAGATGAAGTTTTTGACAACTTCAATCTTTTCTCCATTTATCATGATATTATTTATTGATTCAGTTGTGAGTACTTTTGTTTTCTTTACACTGAGGTGCAATCCATATTGAATACTGTAGTCTTTGATCTTTATCAGTGAGTGTTTCAAGACCTTTTTGCTTTCAGCAAGCAAGGTTGTGTCATCTATATATTTCATGTTGTTAATAACTTTTCCTCCAATCCAAATGCCATATTCATCTTAATGTGATTCAGCTTCTCAG